CGAACTAACACGCTCGAAGCGACCGCCTCGCCACCTCCCCCGTCAGCGCGGCCCAGTCCTGCGCACGCGCACGCAGGCTCCGCCCTCCCCGGCTCGTGGGACGCGCGCGCGGCACGCCGGGAAGGAGAGTTTTCTCCTCGCCGGAGCTCGACCCCGCCTCCCGCGGGCGGGGATATGGGAGCGGGAGTCCGGGCGCTGGTGCAGCCGAGCAGCGCGGGAAAGCCGCTCGGGTCACCGCCTCAGCTTCTTCCGGTCCGTTCATCCCTTCGTTGGACGTGGTGTCAGCTCTGACTAGCCCTTTCCCCTCGCCCCGCCGTGGATTTCTTATCCTCTTGGCTTTCAGGCGCGTCCAGCCCGCTGCCGCATGCGCACAGGACAGCTTATGCCTGCGACCCCAGACAAAATAGTGCACTTAAAACATATTTCCTAATTAATTTGTTGTTGTTGTTATTATTACTGCGACTTTCTGTCCTTTTGACAACTTTACTGCGTGGTTCCATGTGAGCTTTGTAGATGGGAAAGTCAAAACAGTGTCAAAAGATTGGATGCTTCTCACCTGTGCCAGGCTAGGCTCAGGCTCCCCCACTAACACCGACTGCCTAAACTACTGGTCACCCGAAGGCTGTGTCGCTGCCACCTTAGAGCCCGTCAAAGCAGCTGGATGATCCTAAGGAGCTAGGACTCATCCACCCAGACCCTCCCCACTTCCCTCTTCAGAGACACCCTAACTTGTTCCAGCTCATCACATTGCACCTTTTACTTAGGTCTTCACTCACATCTTTTTCTGTCTTTTTTTTGTTCCAGTTTAAACTTCCTTAATGAAGAAACGGTAGTTAGTGCGCTCTTTCTCTCTCTCTCTCTGTGTGTGTGTGTTTGTGTGTGTGTGTTTGTGTATTTGACTGAAACTCCAGGTATAGAATAATGACTGGCAAATGTTTCCTGAATGAATGAATGAATCCCCCTCAGGCACAGTGATTTTAGTACCTAAATTAATACCAACTTCGAGAATAAGACCACTACCACAATTTGAGGCCAGCTTGATTTTTATTAGGGTCCACCCAAAAGCTGGCCAGTGAGTAGTTTTACAGAGGGGAGACATTGGGGCAATAAGGAAATTAAAAAAAAAAAAGAAAAAAAAAACCTTTAAAAAAACATCATGTGATCACCATGTGATTAGGAGGGATCAGCGAGGGTAAGGGTCAGGTATTCTCAAAAACCATATCAAGGTCATGGGGTGGAGAAGGTCAGGTTCCAGGAACAGAGCTACTCAACTCTCACAGTAAAAAGAAACTTATTTTTTAAAAAATACAGCATAATGGCTCCTGCCTTTAAAATGGAGTCAGACAGGTTCCTCACCGGCCCTCTTTCCTGGCACAGTACATAGTAAGAAGCAATTGGCTGAAAGCTACTTAGCACAAGTGCTTTCTCACATTAGAGTCTTAATACTTTCAGTTAACACTTGCTTATTGTCTGCTAATCTCTCTTCCTTCCTTCCCTCCATCCATCCCTTTCCCTCCTGTCCCTCCAGGCTCTCTCCTCACTTCTTTGGATTGTGGGGCATGGAACCCCAGGCTTTGTCCATGCAGACATGCTACCACGAAGCTACATTGCTAG